GGGGACGTCTTTACCCCACTTGAGCAACAGAGGTCCTGAGAGAGGGTTGAACTGTAAGTAATTATCAAAAGAAGGCACCAAACCGGGAAGGCTATGTAGCACCATCAAATGCGCAAAATAATCAGAAGGCGCTAAATATCACCAAGGATGCCAATACGAGAACAAAAACGCACGAGGCGAACGATATCAGAAGTATCCGAGTCACCAAGAATTCTATTGAGGGACAGGTGACCGCGAGGGGCGGTCGGAAAGCAAGACACGCTCGTCCTGGAAGTCAGGACATTCAAGAAGGACATGCACGACCGTAAGAGGGACAATACAACTAGGACAATAAGGAGCAGGGCGGCGCTCCATCAAGTGACCATGGGTTAAGCGAGTATGGCCAATACACAACCTCGCCAGAGCTGTTTCCCACCGCCGGTTACGGTGGAAGGAAGACGGCCACGAGGAAACAACATTTAAGAGTACGTAGCTTGTTACCAGCAACAGACAACCAAGAAGCCTGCCAACGGGTAAGGACTGAGGAATGGATAACCGGGTAAAAGTCGGAATACGGAATGCCTTTACGAGAGATGGGACAAGAGCGGACAGCTTCCTTAGCGGCAGCATCCGCACGCTCATTTAAAGACACACCAATATGGCTGGGAACCCAACAAAACTCAACCGACTTAAATTTAATGTGAACGAGAAACAGCCAATGCTGGATCTCGACAACTACTGGATGAACCGGATTAAAGGACCTGAGAGCCATGAGGGCACTTCGAGAGTCAACAACAACCACAAAGGAAGACTGACAACGAGAAAGCAGGAGACGAAGAGCATAGAGAATAGCATAAAGTTCTGCTGTGAAGATGCTAGTCTCCGGAGGCAAGCGACACATAAGTGCGATCAGGAAAAACAACAGAGTAGCCAACACCGTCCGCTGACTTAGACCCATCGGTGAAGACAGAAACGGAGCGGGAGTGAGAAGAAAAGTGCTCAAGGAAAAAGCGTTTTAGAACCGTAGGAGGGGTAAAAGCTTAGTGATACGGGTCAAGGAAGTACAAAACCGCGGAAGAGGGACCCTCCACGGGGGCAAAGAAGGAAAAACACGAGGAGAAACATCAGAAATACGAACAGAGAGAGAATCCTGTAGGCGAGATAACCGGACAGAAAGAGGGAGGTGGTGAAGAGGAACAGGAACCGCAGGAGGGGTAAAAGTTAAAGCACGACAGAGGCGAGAGGAAGGATGTTGCAAGGACCGCGCAAGATAGCGAAGACAGTAGCGATCACGGCGGTCCTGGAGAGACAGGAAGCCAGTGTCAACATACAAGCTAAGGACGGGAGTCGAACGAAAGGCACCAGAACTGAGGCGCAACCCAGTATGGTGCAAAGCATCAAGACGGCGAAGAGTAGAAGGAGAAGCAGACGAGTAAGCAGGGCAACCATAATCGAGCTTAGACAGGATGAGAGAGGAATGTAAAGCAAGGAGAGTGCGCCTATCTGCCCCCCAAGAAGTATGGGACAAGACCCGAAGGAGGGTAAGGGCCTTAGGACACTCAACACGGAGGTAAGAGATATGGGGAGACCAAGACAAACGAGTGTCAAGGAATAACCCCAAAAGCTTCGCGGAATCTTTGTATTCAAGGGGATGACCATAAAGTGACAAAGAGGGACGAAGTACAACCCGTTTCCACGTAAAAGTCATGGCACAAGTCTTAGAAGTAGAGAACTTTAAGCCATGGTCGGTGGCCCAAGACGACACAGCATCAATTGCAAGTTGAAGCCGGCGCTGAAGGAGAGGCCAATCATCACCCTGACAACAAAGGGTAAGATCATCGACATAGAGAGCGGAGAAGACACCAGAAGGAAGAGAGGAAAGAAGACCATTGAGGGCAACCAGAAAAAGAGTAGTGCTCAGAACACTACCCTGGGGCACACCTTCGTATTGCTGAAAAGAGGCAGAGAGAGCGGTACCAAGGCGCACCCGAAAGGAACGACGGGAGAGGAAGCTGCGGAGAAAGAGAGGGAGATTACCACGAAGGCCAAAAGAATGAAGTTGAGAAAGAATATGATATCGCCAAGTGGTGTCGTAAGCCTTTTCCAGGTCAAAAAGGACGGCAACAACGGAGGTCTTCGCAGCAAAAGCAGTACGAATATAGACCTCCAAGTTCACCAGGACATCTGTCGTGCTGCGGCACTTGCGGAAACCAAATTGAGAAGGAGAGAGGAGGTGATGGTGTTCCAGGAACCACATCAGACGAACGTTAACCATACGTTCAAAGAGTTTGCAGACACAACTTGTGAGAGCAATAGGGCGAAAGTCCTTAGGGGAAGTACCCAGAGATCCCGGTTTGGGAACAGGGAGGACAACGGCATCGAGCCAGTCCTCAGGGACTGACGACGACTCCCAGATCCGATTATACAGACTCGGTAAATACTGAGACGTGCACGGAGGGAGATGGCGAAGCATCTCATAATGAATACCATCGGAGTCCGCCGCCGTAGAACCGCAGAGGGCCAGGGCAGAACGAAGTTCAGAGAGAGAGAAGGGATCATTATAGGGAAGCTGAAGATGAGTGCAGAAATCTAAAGGACGAGACTCGAGGACAGGTTTACGAAGAAGAAAAGATTGGGGAAGATGAAGACCAGAGCTAACAGAAGAAAAGTGGGAACCCAGTACGGAAGCGACCTGCAACGGGTCCGCCACAAGAGTGTCATGGAGGCGAAGGACCAGTGAAACAGGGTTGAACTGTGTTTGAGCTCCTGGCAGAAAAGGAGGAACCCTTAGTTGTGTGCCCCTACAGGAGGAGGCAATCAAGCAGGCGTTTATGTGTGAAGCCTGAGGATGACAAAGTGCTCAAGTCAAGGCCAGAAGAGCTGTGAGGCAGTCTAAGAGACCTGGTTGGATGTCAGAGGGGACGACATCTTGGAGCCGCAGCTGACCTGAACGCCCTCTACAGATAAATTCGGCGTTAAGTTAAAATAACACTTCTTGCAGTGGTTGCCAGTGTTTGTTTGTGGGCCCAGCTATCATGACAAGTACTTAAGAATATACTATATATGTTTTATTAAGGCAGTGAGCTGAAATAAAAGTAGGAATATGGGAACAATCTGGAGGAGGTGGCAATGCATCCGTCCTCGCCGAATGTCAGTGAGTGACTGAGGGAGGGAGAGCTCCTGACGACGGCGGCGGCAGCTAGCAGCAGGTCTTGGTACGTCGAGAATGGACTCCCTCAAGATGGGGGAGGACCGTTGCTCCGTGTTAAAGTTTAAAGATATGTTGGATGGGGAGACTTATTTTCTCTGAATACATTTTGATTATGTTTTAGTAGGGGAAACATTTTTTTTTGTATGACAATGGAAATTGCAGGTTTGTTTGGGGAGGAGTTGATGGAAGAACTTGGAGGCCAGGGAAGAAGCTAATGAAGGAAACTTCGAGGTCGGAGAAGTGTATGCTGAACTCTCTGGTAAAGCAGGGCTCCAAAGTAAGGAGCTAACCTCAAGCTGTGTAAAGGAGCAGTGAAGAGGAGTATCACGTGTGTATGGAATCAGTGGTGAAGCATCACTGGTGTTTGATGAAAGCTTTATTGTATAGCAGTTTGGAGGACTGCAGAGGAGCCATGTTGACTGTTTTAGAGAACCTAGAGATATACATGGTAGTGAGCCTCTAGGAGCAGAGCAGAGGTTCATGGTGATCACACAATGTATAGGGGAAGTGCTTGAATGCTTATTGACGTGAGACGCAGTGTAAGGCGAGAGATTGATTTCTTTTTGTGCTGGGGAATATTTATGGAGATGTTTCTGGTGTTTCAGTCATTGGCTGAAGTTTTATATACTTTTAGAGCCGATTGTACCATGTTGTCATGATATTTCAATCCCCACTTAGTGAAGGAGTAGTAAGTGGTAAGTCAAGGGTTGAGCAGCCAGTTGATATGGACGGTTGGTGAAACACAGGACATGGTATGGGATTACTACCAGGTTGTAGTAGCTTAGAGTGTTGTATGGTAATATTTCATCTTGTTTATCATGTACTGTGAATGTTCTTTTATGCATTAAATGTGTATTATTAGCTGGCTTTTGCTCTTGTCCTGATGAGGCTTCCCAGAAAACAGGAGAAAGAGAGAAAGGATCACAGCTGTGGACAGGGTGACAGAAAATACAAATTCACAAAAGGGGCTTTAGGAGATCATTCCAAACAAGGAGAGAGTGGGGAGTCAAGGCGGCTCAAGTAGGGTGTGTACACAGGACAACGAGGCCAGTGTTGGAGCCGAACCCCTAGATATGTGACGCTGAACCCCTTTACAAGATCAAGAGGCGTACAGGGTTATCTGCTGAGAAAACTTCAAGCACTCCAGAGTTCATTGTTGGTCGACTGACAGTAGCGGAGCTGTGGCTGCTGAGGTCGGTTGTCTGTTCCGGCAGAGAGTGGTTGGGGGACGTCCACCTGTATGCAAGTAACAGTCTGGTGCAGCAACCAGAGCTCTCATTGGAGGTTTAAGTTCCATTAGCCCTAACTCCCTCAGGTCAGAACACAGTGCTCTAAGGTCTTATACTCATTGCTCTTGTGTCCGAGGACCATCCCCACAGAGCCCTCCCACTCTGCCAGTGTACCCAAGTCTTGTACTCATTGCTTTAATAATTGCTTCATCTTAATTTTTAGCGAGCCGTTTTCCATATGCCAATTGGTAATATTACATTAAATTGGAACGAGGAAAACTTGTCTCACAGTATGTACATATTTCAACTAGCAAACTCGAACTGTTTGAGGTCACAGTGATGTTAGTTAGATAAATGCTGTCTAGACTTCATTTATTTATGCTAAGAAATAATATGACTTATCAGTGCTGTAACTTTGTTATTGTTATAGGGATAACGTTAACCAAGTCAGAGCAATGATGCTGTGAATCTAGTTTCGGGATTGTGTTTCTGAACTCATTACGTACCTCTACTCTTTCTCACTACTGCTCTCAGTATGGGTATGTAGTGCATCACAAGTGAACGAAAGTAACAAAATGAAACAAAGGATTAATTAATTAAGGACATACCGGATTTGTGTGATTGCCTGGATAATCGCTTTCCAGAAACAAGTCGGCAGTCCACTCCCAGACATTGCCCAACATGTTATACAGGCCATAACCGTTAGAAGAGTGTGACGTTACTGGACAATGACCCGCACACCCTTCCTCTCCTGTGAACTCCGTCGGGAATTTTCCTTGCCACATGTTTGACCTCCAAGAAAGACAAGACGTATTCGGTTCGGATTTGTTGACTATTTACGAAATTTTTATTTGACATAATAACTCAAGTACTACGATGCTATTGTTAAACCATTTTATTATTATATCTATATCGACTGGTGTTTCTTTTCACTGTCACTTAAGAGCAATTAGACGAATGAATTACGTCAGAGAGTGAGTTAGTTTATACACACTCCTCCCCGAGTTAAATGATGTAATGATAAAAAAGGTGCAGAGCTTTGTAAAAGTTAAAATAATTCTGGACATTCATCCAATACCTGAACTGATTGTTTGGTAAATATTGGTCGCCCATGTAGAATATCAACTCGTGTACTCCAGCTTTACAGGCTCGCTCCCACTCAGCCTCTGTGGGTAGTCGCTTGCCCATCCAGGAGCAAAATGCTACAGCATCACTCCATGACACATGCACAACTGGATGGTCCATACGATCTGGAAGAATAAAATCAGAGTAGGAGGCTTCACAATTAATATAGAATAATGGTAAAGATTTTAACATTTTGATATTGTAAAAGGAGAATCAGAAATGCATAGCAGCAGCCCGTCCTCGTCAACCAAAGCAAAAGGCAAAAGCTCGTTATTACACCCTCCACACCTACTGTTTATGAATGAAACATGTTTTAGACACGACTCAAAACCGATTCCCAATAAGTAGATGAAAAGTCAAAATAACGTGGCTGAAAAATGTTGACCAAACCACACTAGAAATTTAAGACGACGACGACGTTTCGGTCCGTCCTGGACCATTATCAAGTCGACAATCGACTTGATAATGGTCCAGGACGGACCGAAACGTCGTCTCTCCAATTTATAGCGTATGGTTTGGTCAACAGATTCCTAATATTCTCTCTCAATCTACTTTATAATAGTCCAGGACGGACGGAAACGACGTCTTGTCTTCATTTTCTGACGTGTGGTTTGGTCATCATAACTTGAACCTCGTTATTGTGACTCATCATTTGCATATTTACCTCAACTCGTCACAGTCAATGTTCATTCCATCCAGCGGTCGACCCCAAAGATACATTCATCAACTTTAACATGCTGTTTTTCCAAAATAGGAATTCTTAAATTAATAGTTATAAATCAGCATATTGTTCATATTTAGCCATTGGTTAGGTTAGGTACTTAGATTCTGTTGGTTTTTATTTATATTTGCAGTTCGTGGGTAACGCATTTACAGCATTATGATTCGAACAGAGATCGTCAGCCAGCCTGTCCTCATAAACAAAGTAAACCAAAGTAAAATCCATGCAACAGCCAAACCCATTGTTTATTAATGAGAAACTGTTTACACACGACTCAACTGATGACATCGACACTTCTAGACCAAGTGCTTTGCTGACGACTTTTGTTCGAGCCACAACTATATGCGTCACCCACGTACTACAAATACAAATAATCGCCAATAGAACCTAAACACCTAACTTAACCAATGCCTAAATATGCACAATATACTAATATATAAGAATAATAATTTATATATGAGAAAACTCCTGTTTTGAAAGAACAGCATGTTAAAATTTATGAATGACTCTTTGGGGTCGACCATTGGATGGAATGGACTTGGTCTGCAACCCGTTCTCGACTCAAGTCCATTACATCCAGCGGTCGACCCCACAGACGCATTCATAAATTTTAATATGCTGTTCATTCAAAACGGGAATTTTATCAAGTATAAATTAATATTATATTAGCATATTGCGCATATATAGGCATAGGTTAGGTTAGGTTAGGTGTTTAGGTTCTGTTGGCGATTATTTGTATTTGTAGTACGTGGGTGAAGCATTTATAGCGTTGTGATTCGAACAAAATTCGTCAGTGAAACACTTGTTCCGGATATGTTCGAACGTCCGAAGTTGTGAGTCGTGTGTAAACCGCTTTTCATTCATAAACAGGGGGTTTGGCGGGTGCATGGAATCACTTTGGATCTTTGTTTGGAGGACGGGCTGTAGTCTGAGGACGGGTTGCGTCAGCGAAGCATTGTTCGAGAAGTGTTCGAACGTAATCAGTTGCGTCATGTGGAAACCGTTTGTCATTTGTGAATGGGGGGTTTGAAGGCGGTATGGAATGGAATTTGGCCTGTGTTTTTGAGGACGGGCTGACTTTTCTCCAGCAGGGCTTTGTTCACGTCCACTGCTCTAGTCGCAACTTTGAATAACTCATCCATGTTCTCCAAATGCAAATAATTGCCAGCAAAAGCTAACTACTTAAGTTAGGCCTCAAAATTTAACTTTCTGGTAAAATATTATTATCGAATATTTGGAAAAAGAAAATTTTTGAATATGCAATGTGTTAAAACTGATGAAAGTGTCTTTGGGGTCAGCCGCTGTTTTCATGAGCCTAGCATGAGGACAGGATTGAGGGTTGATTATTCATACCTACCAGGACTGCTTGGACAAATGAGCATGAAGACAACTCTGAAAACCGAAAATTATTAATCAATGTGCAGTATATAGCAGCATATATATCTTAGTGCGGTGCACCCATGGGGCAGAATACTCCGGAGCTATATGATCCAACCACATGTACTTAGACGACATCCTCAAATCAATTTCAGATGCCTGGTTGATACCTGGTTGATGGGGTTCTGGGAGTTCTTCTACTCCCCAAGCCCGGCCCGAGGCCAGGCTTGACTTGTGAGAGTTTGGTCCACCAGGCTGTTGCTTGGAGCGGCCCGCAGGCCCACATACCCACCACAGCCTGGTTGGTCCGGCACTCCTTGGAGGAATAAATCTAGTTTCCTCTTGAAAATGTCCACGGTTGTTCCGGCAATATTTCTTATGCTTGCTGGGAGGACGTTGAACAACCGCGGACCTCTGATGTTTATACAGTGTTCTCTGATTGTGCCTATGGCACCTCTGCTCTTCACTGGTTCTATTCTACATTTTCTTCCATAACTTTTACTCCAGTACGTTGTTATTTTACTGTGTAGATTTGGTACTTGGCCCTCCAGTATCTCCCTGTGCCTCTTAAATTAATTGTCTTGATGGCTTCGGTAAATAACTTTTGGGCACCCCCTCAAAAAATTCATGTGATGGCTAGTTCATGAAAGCACCAAATATATAGACCTCCCTAGGAAAAGCTTCACATAAATAACTAGATATAACTCGTCGATAGATGTACATGTGACAGATATTGATGAAAATCTCTCCCTTGTTATATAAGAAATTATCATATGAAAGTACGAAGCCAGTAAGACTATGTAGCAGCACCAGCCTCGCTGGATATTCCAAAGGCGGTATATGTGACTTAAGATGCTAATACGAGAACAAAAACACATACGATGAATGATGTCCAAATTTTTCCGATTCACAAAAGAGGCTATCAAGGGACAAATGGTTCCGAAATACTTTAGGAAAGCAAAACGTATTATGGTCTTGAAAATCGTGATATTCTACAATGAGTTGCACGATTGCAAGAGGGACAATGTTGTTCGGACAAGGAGCAGCAGCACGCACTGCTTCCATTAGGTGTCCGTCAGTTAAGCATATGTGGCTAATACCATACTTAGCCACAGCCATTCCCCACCCATAATATTAGTAGGACGAAGACCAAAGGGATTGGTTACTTTTGAATGAATGAATGCGAGTATATGAACTCGCCTATTTGTACTCACCTACTTGTGTTTGTGGGGGTTTAGCTTCGGCTCTTTGGTCCCGCCTCTCAACTGTCAATCAACTGGTGTACAGGTTCCTGTCCCAATGGGGCTCTTTCACATCTACACTTGAAACTGTGTATGGAGTCTTCCTCCACCACATCACTTAAAAATGCATTCCATTTGTTAACTACTCTGACACTAAAAAAAAATGATTCTATCGCGAGACGGGTGATCATGAGCGAGTCAAGAAGCAAAATGCATGCACATCCTAGCAATCAAGACATTCGACAAGGATATGCATAACCATAATAGGGACAATGCAGTTTGGACAACAAGGAGCAGGGCAGCACTCCATTAAGTGCCCGTGAGTTAAACGTGTATGGCCAATATGTAACCTCGTCAGAGCCATTTCCCACCACCATTTACGGTGGGAGGAGGAAGGCCATGGGGACACGTTACCATTAAGATCACGCAGCTTGTTACTAGTAACAGTAGACCAGCGATCCTTCCAATGGGTATGGATAGAAGAATGATTAACTGGGTAGAAGTCGAAATAAGGAATCCCTTTGAGAGAAATGGGAGAAGTGCAGATAACCTCCTTCGCGACAACATCCGCATGCTCGTTTAAGGAAACTGACCTTGAAGACAACTCTGACAACCGTCCAATATGTTCCCAATATGGCTAGGAACCCAGCAAAACTCCACTGTTTTAAATTTGCTGGAGATAAAAGCCGATATTTAATTTCGACAACATGATGGACAGAACATTATTAAAAGAGTACAGAACCATGAGGGTACTGCGAAAGTCAACTACGACAACAAAAGAAGAATGACGGTGAGAAATCAGTTGAAGAGCATACAAAATTCTGCTATGAAGATACTAGTCTCCTGAGGCAGGCGACACATATTGGTGGAGTCAGGGAAATATAACCGAGTATCCCACACCGCCGGCAGACTATGACCCATGTGTGAAGAAAAAACAGACCGAGATGGAGCTGTAGTGTAGTGTGAAGTAAAATGAGCAAGGAAAAGGTGTTTCAGTTAAACATTAGCTTTAGTCATGCGGGTCAAGATTCTATAAAACTGAGGAAGATGGACCCTCCATAAAGGCAAGGATGAAACATGAGGAAACATTAGTAACACGAACCGAGAGAGAACCTTGAAACCTAGACAATCGTACAGAAATGGAAGGTGCACAAAGGGAACAGGGCCTACAGGAGGGGTAATGGTCAAAGTACGACTTAAGCGAGAGCGAGGGTGTTGTAGGAACCGGGCAAAGTAGCGATCACGGCGAACCTGTAGAGACAGGATGCCGGTTTCAAAATGCAAGCTCTGGGTAGTAGTAGAACGAAAAGCCCCAGAGCCGAGGTGTAGCCCAGTATGGTAAAGAGCATCAAGACGACGAAGAGTTGAGAGAGAGAGGCAGACGAGTAAGCAGGACAGTCACAATCTAGTTTAAACATCACGAGAGAGGAATGTAAAGAGGAGCATGCGCCGATCAGCTACCCTGGAAGTATCGGACAAGGCCTTAGGTTAAGGACCTAAGGGCATTCAACCGAGGCGGGAAATATGGGATGACCACGAAAAACGAGTGTCAAAGATTAATCCCAAAGTTTAACAGAATCCTTATAAAAGAGGATTACCATAAAGCTACACATAGGTGTCAAAGAACGACCTGCTCCCGAGTAAATGTCATAGCACAAGTCTTAGCTCTAAAGAACTTGATTGGTGGCACAGGACAACATTACTCGCAAGCTGAAGCTACTGTTGGAGGAAAGGCGAGTCATCCCCTTGACAAAAGTGGGTAAGACCGTCAACCCAAAAAGCCGAG